GCTACTATCCCTGGCAATAATAGTAATTAAAAAGTAATAATATTGAGAGGCTGATGTGGTAGCCCACACCTGTACTCCCAGGAGGCATCCTGAAATACATATTGAGATGAGAGCCTGTCTCAAAAAAGGGGGAGAATATAAATATGTGTAGTTACTCAAACTTTGCATTGAAATCCACAGTAAGTTTAATTTTTAAAATTGTGACAGTATATACGATACAAAATTTACCATTTCATATAGTTATACTGCGTTTGAGAACATCTTCATGGACCATATTCAGAAAAAATTTAAACCAGGTGTGGTGCCTCTCACCTGTAAGCCCAGCACTTGGAAGGTGAAGACGGGAGGATTCCTGGGAGTTAAGGACAGGCTGAAGGATACCATGACGCCCGTACCAGCCTGGGCTAATGAGTGAGATCCAGTGTCAAAATTTTTGTGCTATTTTAACCAGTTGGGATTTTAGTGTCATATTCGTGTTTTCTGAAAAACAAAACAGACAGCGACACAGAATGGAAAGAAAACCCGTTCTCAGCGTCGGGGCTGTCCTAGAACAAAAGAGTGTGCCAAAGGACAAGTGCCTCAGACATGCCAGTGATGTTCCCACCAGGAGCTTGAACAGACCTTGACATGGGCTTCCAGTCCCTGGCCCATAGTTTACTGATGATAGAGGAGGGCCATGCTCTTCTGCCTCAAGTCCAGCAGACTGCAGAGGGAGCTAGAACGTGGTACGCTCTTCTTAATCTTGGCTGTGTTCACCCAAGGGTGCCCCGTTTGACCCCGTCTGCTTTGGGGTCAGCCAGGAATAGTATAAACCTAGAAACTTAAGAGGAGCTGGGGAAAGGACCTGTGGTTTGACATTTTTCAGATTCTTTTTTGTGTGTATGTGTGTGAGAGAGAGGGAGATGTGTGTGTTTCAATAGTGCTTTTCATGTGTACAGCTCAGCAGAGGAAGAACTAAAATAGAAGGGGCCCAGGGAGGAGAGGTGCTGGGAGGGGCGGAAATGTGCTCAGAACACTTGATGATCTCCAAATCTAGGGCTCTGGAGGGCTTTGGAGGGGTGGTTCAAGAGCAGGTCCCCACCCCCACCCCACCTGGAACTTTCCCAGGCTCTATCTAGCCTGACTACAAGGTCCCCACAGCTCAGGGAGACAGGGGATCCTTGGAGACTAGGATCTGACTTTAGGAGCCTCCTGACCACCAGCAGGGCCTTCCTGCAGCTTCAAAAGGCAAGCTACACCATGCCACCATCCCCTCCACCACGGGTGAGACCAGGGTCTCATTTTGATCAGAGGAGGGTGTGGCAGCAAGGTGGAAGGGGGCAAGATCCCGCAAGGTGGAAGGGGGCCAAGATCCCGCATCTTGCTGTGCTCGACAGCACTGCTGAGTTCATCACACTGCAGGTTTCTTGGGGACCAACGTGAGTAGAAAGAAACAGCCAGGAGGTTACTGGGAGAGGGCCAAGACACCCTTTTCCCTTAGCCTCTCTCTCAACTAGTTCCCTGACTAAAAGTGCCTACCTTTCACACCCCCACAGTGCTACCCACTGCCCCAGGGTCTCTGTTCCTCGTCTGGTCACTCTTCTACCTTGTGTGACTATGGCTGAGAAGGCTACAGGGGTCCCCACTGTAGCTTAGACTCTGTCACATCAGGGGCTCTTCCTTCAGACACCTGCTGTGGAGCATGATTACCTGGTCATCTCTTCTCCCATGGTCTGAGACTTGTAGAGACAGTCCAGATGGATGCTGCCCATTTCTGTCACCCAGGACCTGAGTCAGTGGGGGCTGGGAAGGCAGGAAGGGATTGGAGCGAAGGTAGGGGCGGGAGGAGGAAGATGCAGAACCGAGAGAGGAGTGGGGAGGGTGGGGTCCCCAGAAACGAGTAGTTCCCTCTGGCTTTGCACCCTTCCCACCACTGGAGACATTCAGTGGATGGCTTCAAGTGTCCACCAGCTTCCTTTTAGTGCTCTGGAAAGCACATCTCACAACCTCCACAGACACGTCACCTATATAACTGTAGTCCTGAGGGAAATGCTAGATGCCCCAGGGGAGGGTTCTGATCCGAGTGAGAAGAGTGTCTGCTCAGGTGTTAGTGCCAGGGGAGACCATATGAGGACCAGCAGCCCCAGAGCGAGCTGTCTGACATGGTAGATGCATCCTTCACTTGAGAAGCATCAACTGTCTTGTTTATCCAATATTCTCAGGGTACCTGTTTGAAAGTGGACCCGATTCTACCCACACCAGTGCACTCTTCACGTGTGATTTGTACTTTCAGCAAACGTAAAGTTGTCCCTTTGTCACCACAGTCTGGTTCTGGAATACTCCCCTCATCCCCCAAAACTGCAGTTGCTCAGTTCTATTCCAGCCCAGAGTGGCCTTGTCTGCACATTTCTGATGCACAGAAACATATAATTTGTAACTTTTGGAGTCTGGCTGCTTTCACGGAACGTTATTTTCTTGAGGCGTATATTATTGCTGAATATTAATCAATCTCAGGTGAGTGACATCAACAGAGAGCTTGATCACCAGAGAGGGAAGACTAAGAAGCAGAGCAGGAGTGGTAGGAGAGAGCCAAGGGCGAGATTTTCCTCACACTTCGCAGTTCTCCTCCCCCAGCTGGGCCCCACCTCCTGAAGTTCCGGGTATCACCCCGAATGGTGTCCCCAGCTGGAAATCGCATCTTCAGCACAGGAACCTGTGGAGTCATGTCGTATTCCACCCTTGGTGCTGTCCTGGAGTGTGAGAGCTGTTGACTTTATTAACCCTGTGTCCAGACACCGCTGGCTCTCACAGTCCGCCTCCAGCTGTTGTCTTGGACCTTGGAAGCACATCCTTTCATCTGCAGCCATGACAGCATTGTGTCCTTGTGCTTTGGTGCTCCTTGTCTTATTTTGCTACATGGGTGGGGGCGTAACTCCAGGTGCAGAGGAGCAGCCGTGGCAAGGACTTCACCCCTACATGCTTCACGGTTAAGTGTCAGTTGTGATGGACACAAGTGTCTGCAGGCACCCTCGGGCCGATCAGTCACGTGGCTTTCTGTGCCTGGAGTGCTGAGCATTTTATCAGTGGTCAGCTTTATCCAGTGCTTTCTTGTCTAGATGACTAGACACTGACAGATTCTCTGATGATAGCCTGCACTTTATTTGTTGATTGAACCTGTTTGTCATAAAGCACTCGTCTGTGTTTAGCTCCCAGACTTGATGAGAGAACAATTTTACAGGAACTAGAGGCTAAATCAGGTCACTTACACAAAGGCAGCCAGTGAGTGTAGAAGAAAAAAAGACAGTGATAGCTGTGTCCTGGCCTCAAAGAGGACCATCAGTGGGGGATCCCAATGGAGAATGGTCTTCAAAGAACCACTGACCTTATATAAAATGGGGGGAAAAGAATCTTGAGAAGAAGTCTAGGTGTGTTTAAAAGAAATGATTTGATAAACAGCTTGCAGTGATCTGGAGTCTGAGGAGACTCCAGAGTGCTGCAGCAAGACAGGACAGGATCTGAGGTGGAGCTAAATTTTCTAGAACAGAGAGAAGCAGCAAAAGACTCAGAAAGGATGAAACCAGGGAGACTGAGTGTGAAGTTCCTCTTCATCATCAGCTTGGCTGGGTTCAGAATCCTGGAGACACACCTCTTAGTGTGTCTTTGAGGGGGGTTCCAGATAGGTTTAACTGAATATGGAAGACCTGCCCTGCATGTAAGTGCACCCTCCTGTGGGCTGGGGTTCTGGACTGAAAACAGATAGAGGGGTGGGGGGAGAGGATGTCAGCTGAGCACCAGGATTCATCTCTCTGCTTCCTGACTGCGGAATCAATGCAGCTTCTGCCTCATGTTCCCCCACCCACTTTCCTGACGCCGTGGACCACATGTCCTCACCTGACCTAGAACAAACCCTTTTGTCCTTGTTTGTCAGATGTTTTGTTACAGCAACAGGAAAGTAACTAATACACTAAGTGAGCTTGTGATGAAGGAGGAAAAGAAGGGGGATGAACTCTGGCCTGGGGCAGGAGGAGAAGGGAGGGATGAACTCTGGCCTGGGGCAGGAGGAGAAGGGGGATGAACTCTGGCCTGG